AAGTAAAGCAGAGCATGGTGCACCAGACCCACTCCAATAACTGTTAATTGCCTGACAACCAGTGAGGCTAATGTGGTTGTTGCAGGAGTTAAGGGCTGCAGGAACTTGGACCATACCGTGCAGAGAGGAAGAACTTTGCTCACCGGTGGAAGGTCTTTCTGAGGCCCCCCACACTGCTTAAGTCATGTGCGTGTGGTAGGTCTGCACTGGGTCCCAGACGGGATGGCCAAAGTGAGGCGTTGGTATTGTTTCTACATCACTGACACTTCCCAGTGCGATCGGTTGAAGAAGGCTAAAGATGGACTATAAGGCCACTGGAACTATGATAATACAAAGTCAGTAGCCAGAAAAGCCTATAGAGAGGGTATGACATGGCTTTTTCTGGCTATTATGTGAAGTAACAGTCATGGAGGGAGTCCTACTGCAGTCTCACAGTCTGTCCAGAGACAGGAGAGAGGTCGGTAGCACTTTCTTTGCAGATGCTGGGAGCTCTGTGGGACCAATGTAAGAGCCATTATGAAAGCAAGTACAGCAGAAGCAAGTGCAAGGGGCAGCTTCATGTCACCCAGGAGTCCAAATCCTGGTCTGTGTTATGCTGTAAGCGTGAAGGAACTGCAGCAGTCAGCAATGACTGCATTTCATTCAATGGATTTGCGTTCTCTTATACTAGTGTCTGTGCTGTGTGATAAGCACTCCCCATTGTGCTGGGATCATGGGACAGAAAACAGCCACGTGTCCAAGCTGCAGATGTGGTCGGATTTGGGGGCGTGATGTGCTCAGGAGGAACAGGAGCCAGGATATGGTCATTAGCAAAGTCAAGAATGCTGAAACCAGAGACTGCGCTTTCTGAAGGGCACTGACGGTTGTAAGTGCTCGGGGGCTGTTGCATGAAATCTCTTCCTGGTGAAGCAGGCATGGTTAATCCCTGGTAACAGTGGGTCACCTTCCATGTAAAAGCATGGGAGAGGAGGACTTTGTTTCCTGAGAGAGGATGAAATCTCCAGTGCCTCAAGTCAAGACTCCATAATGGTACAGGCTCTTAATTGACTCGGGCAGTGCAGCAATTAAGCCCTTAGTGGGCTTTGTTGCCAGAGCTGTGCACACCAGCCCTTTTTTCCAGAGGCCAATGGACATTGAGGACATAGGGATTTTTTTTCCTAGATATAATTTAACAAAACTTTTTTGTTTTATAGTTTCCAAAAGTCTGTCCCTTCATTTGTCAATGAGGAAATGGGAATTAAGTGTGTAACAGTTGCATGCTGGTGTTTATAAGCCATTGTCTCATCTGTAAGATATGAGAGCAAGATAATGCTTTTGAAATTAAAAAAAAAACAATCTGAGATTCTGGTTTACTCAGTTGCTTATTCTGTCATCTTTTTGCGCATGTGTTTATGGGTGGATGGTGCCCAACCCTTTGGATATTGGTCGAATTTCATTGCAGCAAGTATCTTTTTTAAGAGGCAAGAAAACCACCTTTTTGTCTGAATTTGTTGACCTGATGCTGCAAGGGAAACGAGCCTGGTTCGGTAACATCTTTTGTTGGAGAAACAGCCGAGATGACTATCACTGAAAACAACTAGAAGAGAAAATATTTTATCCCTCTGCCTTTTATTCCCATGCATTTGAAAGCCCTGATAAGAGGAAGGAGAAATCTCATGGTTAAGATGCTGGAAAGTCACTCGCATCTGAGTTCAGTATTCAGTCGGTCTGCAAGGTGCACCTCTACCCTGCCAGTGCCTTCTGGTAGACTTACTGTGTGACCTTGGGCAAATTACTTGATTTGACTGCTTCAGTTCCCATCCACAAAAGAGGGGAATAATAATTTTTTTTCTCCTGCCCTTTCTCTGCTTTACCTGTAAGCCCTTTGAAGCTGGTCTCTCGTAAGGGCAGCAAGGGCTCTTATTGATCCATTCTCAAAGGGCTCCCATAATATCTACAAATGGGAAAATGGCTGCTTTATTGCAGTGCATTTGCTGCCCGTGAAGGCAGGTCTTTCACATGGCTACAGAAGAAAAAGCTACTTTTCAGGAAAATTCAACTATAAACCAGCAATAATTTGTAGAAGAATTCAAGTATAGTGCTTGAAATCATTCTAATTCCTTGGACCATTTCCCTTTAACAGTCTTGTCTTGGGTCAAGAAAAAGCTAAAACAAATTTGATTCTGTTCTTCCCCATTCTTGAAATATCCCTGGCCTGATCCTCAGGTGTTTTCTGAGCGTACAATGTATGCCTTCATAGTCAAATAACAATCATTTTTGGTTACCGTTCTCGTATGCCTGCTGCTTCAGCCGGTGTGTACTCATCATGTCTCATTCACTTTGACTGTGGAAAGAGAGCACTCCATTAGATTAAAATTGTAGAGTGCAAAACATTCTTGAAAGCAAATAGCATTGTTTCCCCTTTCTCTGGAAGATGATGCACCTCCATAGAGCAGCTGTTGGTTTCCAGAATGCCTGGTTACTGCCCACATTCTCCCGTTACGGGGTGTTTGCATAGATCCAGAGTGATAGGGGAGGGACCAGTGATAGCCTAAGGTTTTTTTAAGCAATGAGATTAAAACACAAAAGCAGCTCAGGCATAAATGTGTAATATATTTGCCTTTATTTATAATGCCAGCAACTGTTATTATGTCCTTTGACTTGGGAATAAATTACATTTGTCTTCCAACCCCTCCAGTGTAATTTACTGCCGTGTGAGTTTTAAAGCTATTTTTATGTGCATGTTAAAGGATAACTTTGCAGTTCTGTCTGGATGACTGATAGTCCTCCATGTAGCCCCGGGTGCTAATCTCTAACACATGTGAAAAATGGGAGTAGTGGGCTTGGACAACAAAAAAGTCCAGATACCAGCAGTTAGCTTACATGTCAGCAGCTGCTAAAGTGAAAAATGAATGATAAATGTCGATGCAAACTTTTGGAGAGTGTCTAAAGATCACAGCAAAGGGTTAATGTTATCCATGTGTGTAACGCCTTCTGGCATTAAACAGCAAAGCAGAGCTAGTATTTATGAATGAAGGTCAGGCATGCCCCCTTCAAGACCCTGTCCGACTCACTGTTTGAAGAATCGTGTGATTAAGAGCACTGCGAGGTTGAGCTGCATCCCAGAGTGGTCTGTGATGTTTCAGAAATGTGATGTGATGCACAGGACTCGGGGGTTGAAGGGATTTCTCCCATCTTCACCCGTTCAGGCTATTCTTAGTAACGCACTGAGTCATAGAAGGAAGAATGTCAAACTGCTCAGGCTGTTTCTCTTACACATCAGGCAGCTAACAATAGAAACCAAGCCTAGATCTGCCTGGCGTTTTTTTCCCAGACAATTCTCTGCTCTTGTCTTTTTATTTAAATAAGGGATTTGGTTGAACGAGAAATACCATGACAGACAGGCTGGTTTATTTTATTTTTCTGTTGCTCTGGGTAATATCTATAGAAAGAATTTTGCAATATTTGCAGTAAATAAAATCTAACACTCTCTATATGTTCTGTCTCTCCAGGATACATCAGCCATCTGCCACTGTCAGAATAGTGGCTGCATTTTGATTCTCTATTTCTAAACTTTTTTGTTCCCTAAATAAAAGCCTTAAGAAGGAATTCCATTATGGTGGCCTTAGTTTTCATCCAGCTGTAGCTTTCAAACGTCAGCGCTTTGGCTTAATGCAGCACATTGCTGGGAACCAAAACCTCCTAAGTATTAAACCCAGGCCTTCCACTGACTTGTGTCCCCTTGGGAGTCTCTTAACTTCTCTGCTTCATTTTTTTACATCTTTAAAACATGGATGACAAAAATGTACCTGAGAAGGGTGTAGGAAGGATTACGTCATGTGTATAAAGTGACTTGTAGATAACTATTATGAACGAAGCTGTTTGGAAAAGGGAAATCAAGTGTGTAAATACAGCATTGCCAAGGTTGAGTGTCCAAAAACTTAAGTCAGGCCTTCAAAAGCCACAAGGCAGGCTTAAAATTATGAGTTGGGGTTTTTTTAGAGTAACATATTTCAGATTTTTAAATGTGCCTTTGGTTTTTGAATCAGGCACTCTGGTTTTAAGCTCTTACCTATAACCATAGGGAGAAACTTTAAAAAAAATAAAAACCGGTGGTCTCCCGTAATCACATGACTCGAAGAGCTGGAGATTTAAGAAAAAACAATAAATATTATGAGACTAGTCATAATGCATAAAACTCCTGATTGCTTTGTTCAACCTGGTGACCAACATAAAAGCACAAGATCCCATTAGAAGTCTGTGCTTAAGAGACTGAAAGTTGTAAAAAGACTGGTTGGATGCCAGGTTTCAGCAGCACTTTGCTGATTTGACATGCATGCTTGCTTTGGAGTAATTTATAGGTAGTGTCACTTTCCTAGGCAGTGCCTTCAGATTCCTGAGCACTTGTGATTTTTGACAGTGCTCATAATTTTCTTTTCTTTTCTTTTTTTAAAAAAAGGAAAGAATGAAAGAATTTAGACCTTACAAATATTTTACCTCCGACACACAGGGGTCACCAGAGCCACACAAAGAAATGTCATGTTTTACCTTCTGGTTTTTGCTCCTAAACCCAGTTGCCCTGTAGACGGATCTGTGACAGTTCACAGAGCTTTGTGTGTTGTTCACCTGACTACTTTTTAACACCGCAATGTCTTTCCTTGAAGGCTGTGATGTACAGTTAATTAATACGCCCAATTTGTAGAGATTCTGTAGGTTATTCCACCATGAGCCATCCTCAGACACTGTTTGGAGAACATTTCAGAGCCCGCAGATGGACATGGTATCTATGTTTTGAAATCAGGAGCAGGCAGATAAAGAAAATCAGCTGAGCTACAGGCAGCATTACCGTTCTGCAATCCACTCGTGTTGTTTCTGACCGTTAATCTGGTTCCGTTTGGTTCAAAGGAAGAAAAATAGAAACTTGTAAATATTAGTCTTGCTCTCCCCCCTCCCCATTTAATCACTTCCTCTGGTTTTCCTTGGTGCCCCTCATTTGCTAGCTGCTATCAGGGACTTGTGGGAGAGTCTAGCTGCCAGCTCAGCCCTGCTAGGCTGGGGCAATGCAAGGTGGTGTCAGCGACTGGAAATTAGGGACAGGGGAATTTGGCATTTGTTACACAGCAGCAGCTGTAGCTGGTTGTTTCAGCACAAGGGGCAGAGTCCACAAGCGGCGAGTGAGCTGCCATTAGGCACAGGAAAAGGGAGAGAGGGAGGGAGAGTGAGGAGATAAGAGGCACAAGGAGAAAAGAGACAGTGACAAGCAGCCAGAGCAGATTTTGTGGGAAATCGAACCAAGGAAGAGAGCTCTTGAGTAAGCTGTGGGCTTTTTGCTCTCCCATCCTGGCCACACGCTGCTGGAATAGGAAACGGTGTGTAAATTACCTCGGTTAATCCCTTCTGCCTTCACTCCAAAGAGGACTCGATAGCCATGGTGAAAGAAAAAGGTAATTATATTCATTGATAAGCTTGAGCTGAAATGACCCGATAGATCAGCTGCTATCATCTGAGATGGTAACCTTCAGGGTTTGAGTGAAAATGGGTTGGATTTGATGGCTGCTTTGTTTTCTTTGTGTTCCCCAAGATGTCAATAACTGCAGCGAGCTGTATTAAGTATCTTTGCGCCTGTTTTCCCAGCAGCAAGGTTCGGAGCACACCTCAATCCAAGGGTTTGCACAGCTGAGTTGCCCATGCTTGCTTGCTTGCTTGCTTGCTTTTTTTTTCACATCTTCCGTATGTTGCATAATCTATTAGTTGATTTTAGTATTTGATTTTTTTTGTCTTTCTCAGAGTGTTTTTGCCACCTAATTTAAAAAATGTAAGTGGAATAGTTGCACAGTCAGACAGAACAGAACTTGAAGAGGAGAGGTGTTCACTGTTTCATCTTGTTATTATAGAGATGGACTGTTTGGTGTGTCTGGATTTTACAGACTGTAACGTAGACATTAACTGCACTGATTTGAGGTCATGCTACAAGTCTTCTACCCAAACAGAAAAAAGAGGCTTGGAGGTGGAGGAATTGGGGTGCTGGCTGTAGAGTTGCTCCTTCCAGTAGCAGGGCTATGAAGTACATTCTGCTCTTAAATTTGACTCGTGGATTGGAGCTGGACTAGGAGGTTGATAACTTCCCAGGCACATTCAGAGACCAACATAAGGCGAAAGACAACCTGTGCATACTACAACAGGAATTGATGTCATTTCCCCCTTTCTTTAACTCTGTAAAGAGCAGGTGGGTGGGAGCGTGACGTGAGAAGGGGCAAAGTGGCACATTGGGTTCAGGGGTCAGTAGATTTTCACATTTAAAAACCTTTGTTCCAAATGAGGTAAAGTAGCAAATGAAATGCCTTGGGTCATTTTAACTTGGTCTGTAATGAACATGAACCTGACCCGAGTGACCAAACCTGATGTAGCTCAGCTCAGTTAATAGCTTCTGTTAAAGAAAAGCCAGGTCTGGAATAACAAGTATTGGCTGCCAGTCAGGCTTGAGATCTTGTAAGGTGGCTCTCCTAGTGATCACCAGCTATATCAGCCTCTAAGAGTATTAATAGTGGTGGTGTAATGGTCTGAATATTAGTTTTATTGTATGAGGAATACTTGCAGCCATAAGTTTAACTCTCTTTTGGGTAAGTCAGTTCCTCGTGCACCTTGCGATACCTGGGGAAGTGGTGGAGGCTTAGACAAACCTTAAAGCTGCCAGTCTAAATGCCTATTCAAGACCTCTAGCAAATTAATAAAGCATTCAGCTTTTCCAGTTGCAGTTTTGCCTCTCCCCCTGCTTGTTCCCAGGTATATGGACCCCATATCACCAAAGCCTCTGTATAAATTCACTTTGACATCTGTTAAGATGAAAGCTATGGTACAACTTGTAAGAGATTTAACAGGAAATCTTTAATTTTAGTAAAGAGAAGGGGGAGGGAGGGGAGTCTGGTAGAATAATGGAGAGAAAATCAAGTAATGAACAGTACGTTGAAAATGTCCAGTAGTCTTTAGAACTTAGCTCTTCCCTTCCCCATAGTCCAGTGCAGCGTTGTGCAATTCCCTTCAGTGTTGCTTGTAAATATAAAGCAGGCTTTCAGTTTATATGGGCCATAGACCAAGAGAAAGGGGCTAAGTGCTCTTTTCTAACCACCCCTATAATTCCTTATTACAGAGTAGAAAAGGTCCAGAGCCCTCAGCATTTCTCCCTATTGTGTTTTCTGTCTGTCCTTTTGAATTATTTTCAGTCAGTTTCTACAGCTTTTTTTTTTTTTAATTTTTGCTTTAGCCAGAAGGGCAGCAATTGCAGCTTCTCCAGAGCTGATACAAATGCCATTCCACAGAGCGGTATGTTGTGCGATGGCATGCCGGGCAGTACAGCTGGTACTCGCTCTTCCAGCCCCAGCATGAATTCCTCTCTTTTAACGTGACCAAGATTCTCGCAGTCCAGTGGCCTGTGAACCCCTGTTGGTTCACAAACATGCAGGCCAAGCACTAAAGGGGCTGGTTTCAGCTAGAAAAAATGCAATCCCAATTCACTGAAGTGCAAACCAGTTAGTAATGGTTTTTAGCAAATTAGCATGGTTCATTATGTTCATATTGCAGCATGGTTTCAGTATGTGTCTGGTCAGCTCGGATACGTACATAGAAAAATACTGAGGGCACCACGTCTCCTGCCACCAAATGATGCTGGCTGGATCGTGTTTGACTAACACTGCATTTTCATCCTTCTGAATGCACACTTGTCATCTTCCAGCTACAGGCCGTATTGATCTAGTTGGTAGACTAATCTGCTATCATCATCCTGTTGCATGCAAGGGATACCTTGGCCTCATGGTATCCAGCAATGGAAAGTGCTCTTTGTCATGATCTGTCCTCCAGAATTGCCACCTGGCAATCTACAATTTAAACACTAGGCTATACAATACCATGTTAGTTTGGAGTTCTGCTTTGCTGCATTGTTCAGTCAATGGACTAGTCTGCAGAATGAAACTGAGTGCGCCCATGTTGGGGTTTGAGTCTGAATTTTAATCTAATCATTAGTTACTGTGTTGGCTGAGTTTCAGTGTGAGCTGCAAGTTCTGCCCTGAGCCTTGATTTCTTGGCCAGTGGTTGGAAGAATGTCCCAGAATCCATCTCAGTGTATACCAAAACTTTTTGCCTCTCCAGAGGGCAACACGGTTATGTTCCAATGAATGAAGGAATGATTGGACCCTGTTGAGATTTTCACCATGAGAGTCTTTTTTGGGGGACCAGGGTGGTAAGAATATATTCTACAGTCTAGAATATGTTATACGTTGCGTGTGTGTAAATGTAACAGAAGTATAGATCTAGGTAACGTATGTGTGTGACCTAGCACAGTAGCACAGTTGTGAATTTTAAACAGGACTGTTAATAAAAGACATTATTATTACCATAATACAACTATTTTCACTCAAAACCCTATGACAGAGGTGGGCAACATTTTTGGGCCGAGCGCCAAAAAACCCCGTAAACTGGACATGGAAGAAGTTGGTGTGCCAGGGTCAGATGGCAAGGTAACTGTGAGGGGCCTGATCCTTGTTGTGACAGTGCAGCCCCTGCCCCTTCCCTGCAGTGCTCCCTGTGGCATGTGTGCAGCTGCTGCTGGCAACGGGCCAGGCTGGGGCTTTGAACCCCAGCGTGGCTGCCTGCTACAAGTATCCTAGGCTCTGAGCAGCCCTCTGCCACCTGCCACAGAGCCCAGAGCAGGCAACTGCAAGTGGCTGCACCGGGATCTGGAGCATCAGCCCAACTTGTTGCCGGCAGTGGCTGCATGTGCACCTTGGGGAGCACAGTGGGGAAGGGGCCGGGGATGCACTGTCCCTGCTGTGTGCCATGAGGTGTGCTTGCAGCCGCCGCTGACCCCTGAGCCAGGCTGGCACTCCGGACCCTGGTGCAGCTGTTTGCAGCCTGCCCACTGCCTGCTGCGAACAGCCCGGGCTCCATGGTGGCAACAGCTGCTCATGCGCCTCAGGGCACATGGCAGGGAAGGGGCTTGGGGCAGTGTAACCCCAGCCCCAGCTGCTCCGTAGCTGGCAGCAGCTGCCTGGGGCCTGGGCTGACTCTGGAGTGCCAAGCAAAAGGCCTTGTGCACCACACTCTGGCACATGTGCCAGGGGTTGCCAACCCCTGTCCTGTGATACTTTACAGACAGTTAAAACTGCAAGACACATAAAGATGTGCTGTTCATTTCTCTCACTGTCTTTTTTTGTCATCTTATTTTGTCTGCTTATTTTTCTAAAAACACGACATTTCAGAATTTCAGCTCATTTGTACAGCATTCCTGCTGAGAGAAATAAAGGGATCTCCGTGGGCTGCCAGCTCGGGCACTGCATGTTCTCTAAAGTGTTTGCCCTGTGTGGCACCCGGTTCACACCCTGGGAATCCATGGGGCAAGAGCACTGCGCAGTCCTGCCGTGTCTGCCGCATGCTGGTATTGTCTGGAGTGGCAGTCCACACGTTCCACTGAATCTCCACTAGGTGTGAAAGCTGATGTTGTGGAGAGAAGCAGGGAAACCAGCTCTTTCACAGGAAGAAATCTGGAGAGCTTTGTCATTGGTCTAATTGGAGGGGATGGCTTATTAGTTTTAGTAATTAAAACTGAGACTAGTAAATGTATGGGCTCAGATACTGGCAGAGTTGACTTGGCTTTTTCATCCTTCCAAAGCAGATAAAGTAAATGGAGTGCAAATTATTGGAGTTAGAGTTCTTGAATGAGACTTCAAAAAACCAAAGGACTTTTTAAAGATTTCCTAGCACCTAGCAAAACTAAATTTACATTACAGTGCATTTCTTTTAAATTTTGGTTTAAATCAGTTAAACTCCAGCTAAGACTAGCTAGTATCTGTCCATGGTGTGAGGAAGATTTAGGACTGTTCTCAGCCCTGTCAGCTGCAGGGTAGTCAACAGTCACAGTGCAGAGTAGGTCGGAAGTGCCTGGGGGATGAAATGAAGCACTGGTACAACAAGGATATATATATATAAATGCGTATACCACCTCCCATTTTTTTTGAAGGGGGAAACTGAGGCAGGCTACTTTAGTCTCTTTCTCAAGGCTATGGGTTAAGGGGATCAATCTGTATAACTAACCTTTTGGAAAGGAAGTGTTTTTATCCTTCTCTCCTTCAAGTTGTTATAAATGCTCTTTTTTCAGAAGCAGGGTCTAATTTAGGCAAGGCAGGATTGGGGTCTAATCTACTGGCATTAAGTTACTGGGGGGCAACGTGGTTTGTTCATCAGAGATGCAGAAGCCAGTGACTTCTTTTTATTTGTACTTCCAAGCGGCAGAGATGTATCTGAGAGAGTGTCTGCCATGTGCCGTCCCATGTGAAGCGCTGACCAGAGGAACAGACTGTATCCAGCAATACTGCATCAGTCATCAGTGTTTTGTCAGCATTTGTGTATTTACAACATTGCATTAAACGTTAATGTGGGTTGCTGGAAAAATACA